CAATGCATAAAACCTCGTTGAGAGCAGTAGTATTGCTAACAGGTCATTAGTTTACAGAACGATAAACCAGTATATTGCGCTTATTTCTCGCAATTTTCACGCACATATTTGCTATCACAGTTTAGACAAGAGTGTCCCAATGCTACAATAACATACACCAAATGTCACCCTGCAGACAGAGATTTCCATCCAGAACAAATTCTTGCGTATAGTCGAGTGTCGATGATGCATCATCATTGGAAATCAGGCTAGAACAGAAAGATGCACAAAGTAATAAATCACTGTTCGGGAACTTGGCCTGTTCGCGGCGTGCGTCTTAAACAGCCTGTCCGAAACAAATTTGTGCCTTTAAACAGGTGCGCAGTATTTCCGAAAAAAAAACCGATTATATTTACCATAATACGCGTATATATATTGAAGACTTGGCCTACTCGAGCTTTACTTGCGGAACTATTATCAGGCTATTTGTTCTAAATCGGAGCGTCACACAAAATAACGTGATCCTTCAGATGCTATGAAACTCGCACCTTCTGGACAAGGAAAAATGTTCGCAAAAGCAATCGTATTGCGCAGGTCTCGTCGCGTTGTCGTCGTCGGCGGCCGCGGAAGATGAAGCAGAGGAAACTCGGATCAACTGCATTCAATTATTCATCCTGCGTACATACGTCAGAACGGGTTCATTCTGATTGATTTTCAATACAGTTCTCTAATGTGCCTGAATCATATAAAGTATACTTATCATAGAGCTTGTAGTGCCATCATCACCATCGTCATTTTTTCCATCACCGCGCCACGTCTCTCGCGCAGCTGGCGCGAGCTCGAGCTGCGCGAGAATTAGAACGAGCTGACACGCCTGGCGTGGCGGACGCTGGTAGCCGACGTGGCTCCGCTTTAGGCCTGCAATAAAGTGGCGAGATTGGCACGGCCCCATCGGCCGCCTTCGACGTCTTCTCACGTCTCCTCTTCTCTCGCCGCTACATTGGTGACCCGGAGAACACGCCCTTCGCCGAGCGGCCCGCGGCCATGTTCCCGCAACTCTGCCCACCAGTGCCACCGGACCAATCAACTTACCCCAAGGTATGGTTTATGCAGCTCGACGCCGTTCTTGCGGTGAATGGCATCACGGACCAGCTGCTGATGCACGCCATTCTTCTCGACGCCCTACCGGTAGAGTTGCGCCATCTCGCTGCCACTTCAAGCACCAGCCCGCAGCCTTACGATGCCCTCTGCACTGCGGTGCTCGCCCGCAGCGGCAACACATACCGTCCGCTTCCGTTTACCCGCACCAGGCAGGTTTCCCCGGCGTCGCAGAGCAAGGTACGAACCGGTCCGCAGCCCTCCATTGACCGCTACCTCGGTACCCCGGCTTCGACTACTTCTACACCTGATCCGGTCGCAGAAACATCCACTCCTGCACCTGATCACGACCGCGAGGTAGAAAACTCCCCCACTGCGACTGACCTTCCCTCCGAGAGGTACATTCCCTCAGAGCCCCCGTGCAGAGCTTCATCACACGTACCTGCTACCTGCACGTTTTCCAAGAAAGCGACGGCACGCGACACCGTGGCCCTCGCCGTTTCCGCGACCACCAGCTCAGACGTCTCGGCCTCCTCCTCGCCGCAGCTGCTGGTCAGCTCCTCGACGGTGCCCTCTACCGCTCTGCCACCTGCCACTGGTGCCAGCAATGGCCTGCCGGGTGCCTCGCCACATTCCACTCGCACCTACCCGGCCAGCAGCCGACCACACTCGGCGTCTCCGCTCCCCGACCCTGTCCCTGTCTCTGTTTCGTGGTCTACGACGGGCCCCAGCGCCGTGCCTTCGCGGAGCCAGAGCCTGCCCTTAATGCTCGCCCGCAATGGCTTCACGTACCAACCGCTTCCAGGGGCCCGCGACTTTGGGGTTGTCACTGCGTCGCAACGTGTGCTACCAACCGTGGCCCCACCAGACTCCATGACGGCCACCTTGCCGCCCGCCTCGGAGCCTGGCACAGGTGACCTTTCACCCGTTATTGACCTCCCGACTTCCTCTCGTCTGGCCACTAGCGACGCGTGTCCCGCGTACGAACTGCCTACACCATCTGTCGAGCCAACTGAACTGTCTCCGACCCCTGTCGAGCCAACTGAAGTGCCTACGACATCTGTGAAGCCAACTCAACTGTCTACGACATCTGTTGAGCCAACTGAGCTGCCTACGACGTCTGACCAGCCAACTGATCTGTCTATGACGTCTGTCAAGTCAACCGACCTAACTACAACCACTGTGGAGCCAACTGAAAGCATGGGAACAAGCACTGCCACCAGTCCACCAGCGTCGAATACCTCGACAGTGACTGAGGCGACAACTGAACCCGTCTTTCCTGCACAGCCTCCCGTGACGCCATTTCCCGTGGTCCGCGTATTCGGCACGGCGACGAACGAGTCGCAGCCGCTGCCTGCGGACGGCGTGTGTGACTATACCTTCTACGACGGCCTCTACGACACGGGCCCGTTTGACACGCCTTACAGCCCGCACTTTAGTGCACCAGTTGAGCACGTTCTCAGTCACGCGTCGCTTCACAGCGTCACTGAGTACGGCCTCTCTTTCGCCTACAGAAACGCATCACAAGTGGCGCGAGACCTCGAAATTCCAGAGGTGCTTTCCACGATTGAAGACCTATGGGACCGAGCCATCCGCTTTCCACGGATTTCTTTCCATTGAGCGCTTACTTCTTCGTCCACTGCGCAACTCTCAGTGTCGCCCACCAGAGACCCACTGGTTCCCGATGGTCACTACACGTTGACAAACTGGACTTGCCAAAGGAACACTTTATGTACTGCCGTTCATGTACAGAGCATTTGTCGCCCTCTTTCCTTTTTTCATATGCGTTCAAATCGCGCAAAGCGCTAGGGGGAGAGCCCTGTAGTGCCATCATCACCATCGTCATTTTTTCCATCACCGCGCCGCGTCTCTCGCGCAGCTGGCGCGAGCTCGAGCTGCGCGAGAATTAGAACGAGCTGACACGCCTGGCGTGGCGGACGCTGGTAGCCGACGTGGCTCCGCTTCAGGCCTGCAATAAAGTGGCGAGATTGGCACGGCCCCATCGGCCGCCTTCGACGTCTTCTCACGTCTCCTCTTCTCTCGCCGCTACAAGCTCTTAAGCCCGGCTTCGTGCTTCATGTTGGAAGCGTTGAAAAAGTCTGAGCTGTACTAGTAGTTTAGTAATTGGCTGAAGGTACTCTATTTACTGGCTGAAGGCATGTATTCATAATATTATGTAATACGTTTGCATGTAATATTGCCGCACTGCCAAATACATACGGTTGTAGGCTAGTCAAGCTGCCCGGAGACGGTTTTTTCTACAATCCCCCATTTGTATCTCACGAAAATGGCAAATAAACTTGTTATTATAAATATTGTACGAATATTATTATTATTACTTTGTCAACTGGCTTTTGAAGAAACCTTTACTTACCAGTGAAAGCACCTAAACTTTGCTAGTACACTTACTTGTGGCACAGCGGGCTTTCTTGAATTACTAAAATATTTCTGGTATTTTCTAGAAGGAGCTTCTTCCTCCTCATTCGGTTTTAAAACAAAAATATTTATGGCGAGAATGTCGAGTAGCATTAGTTCTTTTAAATTTTCACTGCATCAAGTTTAAAGTCTCGAGTTTCGCGTATCGCAGCTTTACTTAGAGCGCAACCATGCGATCTATGAATGTCAGCATAAAGGTAATACTTTGAAAGCTGTCTGCGCCGAAATCAAAATGCGCTAAAATGTCTTGTAAAGATAGTCTACTCAGCAAACTGCCCAAAGAATCACTGCACCTACAAAAATATGAAGCTCTTAGTGAGACAGCTTTTCGTAATTTTGAACCTTCTGAAGCTTTCGATTTGCAGCGGAATTTTTCTCACGCTCTTTTATGAGTGCCCAGTTTATGTGACTTTTGTGCAGCATAAGCCATGCATAGCGAAACTGCCGCAGAAGGTTCAAGCAGCACTTTTCAGAGCAAAAGATTTTTTTGGGCAGAGTGCTGTATAGCTCATCTTTTAGCACTGTAGTTACGCGGCACAATTGTGCCACCACGCCTATGTGTTCCACAAAACATTTCTTTATGTCTTTCACTGCCTCGAAAAAAAAAAACAGAAGAGCGCGTCGAATTGAAAAAAAAAGACCGCATTCTTTACCTTGAGACTGAAGCATTGCTAACGTTTGGTGAGAACGTGAGAATGCCGGATCACCGCTCTTTAGGAATGACTCACAAATGCAATCTGCTGGCCTATTCTAAAGGAATCGCTGCGCTTTGACACCCGCCAAGCAGTACAATGCATTCTCCTCCGTGATATCAAGGAGGCCTTCATTCGAGCTCTCGCTTGAGAAAAGCGTTTCTGTTATCACAACCTGACGAGTTTGAGGCTCACCTAAGGTCAACCCTGCAAGTAGGTGCGACTCGACAACTTCGCAATTCTAGCGCGAAGGCCCGTTTCACAGTTCCCATATGAAACCTTGTTTCAATGCAGCGATAAATTGAAACACATTGGTATTTTTATTACAACCATGCCTCTGCCTTAAAGTGCCGAATAGGTTCTCCAGTGAATCTTGCTGCAGGCGACGAGTCTGGAGGCAAGTAAAGATAAAGTTTTTGTCAAGGTATCGCCACAGCATAAGGACAGCCGGCATGATGACTAGCCAGCCACCGATGGTGTGCGGCTGCATAGGGCTGTCTAATCTCCAGCACGACATCTATTTGATTGCCTCTTGTAAAAGCGCCAGCTGCTCTCCGGTGGCACTTAGAGCATAATTCAATTTGCCAGGAGTACTAGGAGTGGCAGTTTTGCTGTTGAGGCAATCAAATAGCTTGTTTATCTGGTCTATGAAATATTTAGTAGATTTGGCAGTCGCAGGTGGCTTCTCAAGAGCAATCATAGCTGAGATAGCTACCGACACAGACTCGCTCAGGATTTGCGCCGCGAACTTGACCTTCATGCTGTAGAAAGGACTCCTGTAGATATGATCTAATGTTAATTTTTCACCAATTTTATTCTAAGCGGGTCAGAGCACTCGAACAGTTCGCGATTGTCACTCCAGTCCACAATTTTGGTGCCAATATAAAGCTTGTGAGGAGCTCGAAGGTCATTTCTTTGGCACTTCAATAGGTGGTGGAGTGTCGAAGAATAATTTTCGTGTCCGTTCACTTCAAAGTATGAAATTTGTGGTGTGGCTGCCAATTCATCGAAGTATTTATTATTACTTGACCCCTGATCGCACAGCCAGGTTTAGCATACACCTCGCATTCTGCAAGTTGCGCTATCAATACTAGTAGCAGTCTCTGGATCTTTTCCGCACGTAGAGCAGTTTTGGCAACAGCGAATGCCACTGGCATCACCCACGATCACTAAAATCCTGAAAGGAGTGCTACAAGCGCTACATTTGCCACCGTTGTTGCCCTCTCTGAGCCATCAACTGAAAGTCCAATGAAGGCGTCATGTGCTGTGTCTTACTATAATTTTGGTCTCACTGACATTTCGTCAAATTGCAATTACGCCTGCCTGATCTTCTATTAGACATTTTTTTGCTGCTTCTTTAAGACTGTCTAATACATTCGAAATAATTCCGGGTGTTATTGGAATTTCAGATAACCACCTTTGAAGGGACCTCGGTGATGGCAAAGTGATTGCTTTCGTGAGTTGGCGGTAATAACTTTGCCCGTCGAAATACATATTCAAGGCCAATTCCTTCACCTCTCGAGACCACCTCCTTCCTTTTCTCTTGCGACAATGGAGTGCCACTTGGCTACCCAAGAGTTTGTATAGCTCAGGACTTGTCGAGCGCTTCCCATGTAGTACTTTATTTGGTGTTTTTTTTTATCTTGTTGATTTACGAAACCTTTGTGCATAATTCTTTAGTCGCTTGATGAAGGCGGTGGTCTTCATTGAACACACCTTTCTCTTTAGGCATCAGTGAGATGGTTTGGAAACTGTAAAGAAGCATGCATACAATATATTTGCCTCTGGGTCAGTATAAGTACACAGGGCGAGCACAGCGTCCTCTAGAAGTAAGTGTCAGGTGCTTTAGTAACTTAGATTTCGCTGGCGACAGGTACAGACTAAATATCATCGCTCGATTGTATTGATGCGTATAACAAAGGTCTGTGACATAGACAATTCAAAAGTTTTGTGAGTGCTTCGGCTGCCTCCGAGAATTGTACGCTTATCTAGATAGATAGTTGCGGTTATTAAAACCAGTATTGAAATTAACAGCGCTTCATGATATGGCAATTTACATGAACGGTAGCATGATAAGTACTGGCAGATTTACTTTGGTTCATTGTTTGCTCGGATTTCTCTTCATATACACCAGCAATCACATGTAGAACATGTAGTGTCATTGCAAATCAGCCTTGCGTAATTTCGCAAGGTGGCAATATAGTTAAAAAGAAAGGCAGAATATACAACCGCAGAATTGTGGCATGAAGGTGCAAATAAGAAGCTTTCTTTCTGAAAAATTCTTATGAGTTTCATTGTGGCTGTGTGGTGCAATCGTTTGTTTGTCTATGTTCCCGTTTTTTCGTGTAATGTAGTTGTATACAACACCCTAAAAAATTTCAGTAAAAAGGGCGTCTTTTTTTACAACATCAATAATCATCACCCGGCTTGCTCGAGTTTCCTTTATTAAAAACTCGGCGCTCACCCGCTTCCATTCAAGAATTCTATGTCATGCTAATAGTGCACGTATCGTTCGTGACCAGTAAGTGCAGGGCGGGTTGTTTATTGCAAGGAAAGGAACGCAAGATATAAAACGACTATCCTTGTTCGAGAAAACGGCACCATTTTTACTCGATCTTTTCTCAGAGGGAAGTTTATCCTTTAAAAATAATTCAATAATATTCCTTCTTAAAACAGAAGGACCCACTGTGCTCGGTTGAAAAGGTTAAATTGACCAAAATTATTAACACGTACACAAGAAAGCTTCAGCAAAACATGTCCTCGTACTTGGTTTTCCTGGCCGGATGTTTCCGAGCAAGGCGCACACTCATCCGAACAGCCACAGCTGGAAAGGCCAAATGGTTCAGGCATTGAGGATTTGGGGTCAACCGGTGTGTGGCTGGAATCTGTGAACAGGAGTAACGTGGAGCGCAGGGCTATTATATTTGTTCACACAACTATCTAAGGATCGCGGCCCCAGCAGCGGCATGAACACAAACAACGATTACAACACTTTTTGCTTACTCCAAATTATGCCATCTTAAAATAGGCGAACTGGTGCTGCAATACAATAATAGAATGAAGAAAGAACACAAAACGACAAGAGCATAATTCCAACTAGAATTTTGTGAAGTCAAAACCACACGAACAAGACGAATACTAATTTGTATTTATTTAACAACATGTCAGTTGCGCGCAAGCACTTGTTTTTGTCTGTTACTTCTTCCATCTGAGGAATGTGAAACGACAACGCATTTCACTTGCTTGCATTGTTCACCTGGCGCTACCAAAATTTGCTGAAGTAGCACAGACAGCAAACTGGTCTGTACAAATTTAAATACAATCTTTTCAAGAACACCACTGGCTTCAAGTCTAAGTGACAGCACCAAATGAAGCCACTTAGTTGTGGCATGCAACTTGGGCTAAGAACCTAGCCATTTGAAAAAAAAATCATATATATTTTAGTTTTATGTCCGATTTCTAATATTAGTTTGCCTGCGTGTCACATTTTCTCTGATACTGGGTGTTGAGACAGAGACAAAATAGTTTTAAAATATAGTATTACAAGATGTTTATCAGCAACCATCATACTACATTACGCTAAATAGTGCTAGCGATATCTCAGCAAACATTGAGAGCCATGACGACAGAATTATTTGAGACCTTACCAGTTTTTCATTGAGTTGCAGGTGAAGGTGGCAGCCACTAAGAGAAATCAGAGCCACTTCCTTCCGAAACCGAGTGTACTGCTTCCGTTCAAAACACTTTAGGGTGCGAGGTGCAAACGCCCGTCGTAGTGGATATACCCCCGGCAACGGGGACTTTACAGTTGAAAGTTATTGAGCTGGCACTATTGCCCAACTATTCCAGCGAATGCGGCTTTGCGGTCCCTTTCGCCCAATGGGCTTGGGAGGCGAACTGTGCATCCCCCAATGTTGAAAATGGATATGACAATAGCTCGAATCACGCGACCTATTTCTTACAGTGTTTCCTTTTTGTTCTTGTAGGGGCGAAGCTCTTTTTACTGCGTCAAGCGTAACCGTCTAGACGAACAGACACAGACAGGCGAACGGATAGACACACAGACAGACACACGGGAAGAGATACATGGAAAGACAGACAGACGGCCGTCCGGACGCTTCGGCCCACCCACCATCATTCACGTCATGGATATGCTGTGATTTTTTTCGATAATTTTATTTTTTTGATTGCCAAATAGCGAGATCCGTAAAGCGGCATGCCATAGGTTACTGATCCCACTGACATGAAAAAATCACTAACGGACATTGCAAAATAGCGAGAGCCAAAAGGACAACAAGCTAAACATAACTTGAGCAACTAGTTCCAGCACAACACCTGGAAACGCTAAAGTAACGGCTTTAAGCAGAATATCCAGCGCTAATATTCTCAAAAACATATATTCAATGCAAGCACAGCACAGCTACTACACCCCTGCTAATCAAGGTTTCTTGCTTACTTACACGGAACACGCCAACTGAGTCTCAGTCATGCAGTTGTCAGATAGGAAGGAGATGTGGCGCCCGGAGGCAGTTTGTCTCAGAGTCTCATGTAACTCATGTAACTCATCAACCCATCATGTCATCTAATAACGCGACTGCAACGAAAACGATTCGCTGCTTTCTTGGCCGCTCACTTGGGACGTAATAGAGAAATTTCCGTTTACTATAACACAGAGTGCACTGTAACACAACACGCCACCTTAGCTGCCAAGCTACCGCCACTATACCCCTTCTAACAAATATCACGGTCAAGGGCACGCGCCACCGTCGCATAGCATTCGCGAATACGCCGCAGCCACGCGCAAAACAATGTATCGTTCTCGACATGCTTTCGAGTAAGCCTCTGTGCAACTTGAAAGCATTGCGAACATTTTAGGCATGAGTATTTGGTCGGCAGTTGAACGGCAGAATGCAGACATAATTCACGAAAACCGTAAGATAGCACTTACCTCGTAGCGGAATCTACAAAAATTGTTCCGAGGTCAGCTTGGTGGGAGAGCTCCGATACAATGGTGACTCCAAGCAGTGAAGTTAACGAAACCTTGCGCAACCTTCTGGTAACATATTATCCGACTTCACGCAACCACAGGTTAGCCCATCAGAATACCTCAACGAATACACGCCTTGGCGTCGCAAATCACTGTTGAAAACGGTCGTTTCATACGAGTACACAATAACGACGTTCTTGTCGTAACAAGCACCCATGTTGGCTGGCGAGCGCCGTGCATGCGCAGCTATAGCGCTGCCGCCGCGCACCCGTACATACATCACGTGACCACGTAGGAGCAAGGGAGCCGGCCCGCTGGGGAGAGTTATCTCATGACGCATTCTCTGGAAGCCGCGGCGGTGCTGCTGAGGCAAGTGAGCCCATGCTGTGTAGAGTTTCTTGTTGACACTATATTGAAACCATGCTTTGGGGTTGCGGTATAAACTATTTGTGTTCGCTACACACTGCAATGCAATACACTGACCTGTGTATTTGAAAAAAGATAGTTCGTAGAAACTGTGAGGCTGTTCTAGTTAACTTCCGCATGCAAAAAACATTATAAATGCACTATGAAATAAACGTAAATGCTGTTTGATTTACGAGGTAAACTCACACATTCAGATGTGAAAGCACATACACGCTAAATTTTTCGCCTACAATTTCTACCATTCTTATTGATAGGCGAATAAAACAGAAAAAAACTACTACCTGACCATGAATTAAAAAAATAGTGCAAAATTTATGTTATTTCCATGCATTTGGTTTTTCATTTGCTGTTGTATGTGCGCTGTGACAGCCCTGAAATGCTGGATGACAGGACATATTATTATACACACTATCAGAGGGATCGCAGTAATTCAAAAATGCCCGCAAGCTTATAACAACGTGTAAAACCCACCATTACAACGATGCTAGTTTAAACGAGATATCGGTGATGAAAATAAAAAGAAACCATCAATGTTTATATATCTTCTTTGAGAAAACTACCCGCTTACACTAATGCCATTGTGTCACATTATCGGTTATATCAAAGAAGTGTGGCTGCTTTTTCTTAGTGAAAAAAAAAAAAAAAGGTAATGCTCGTGGTGTGTAATCCTCGGAATGAAAGAAAACGAGAAATGTTCGTGCCTCAACTCCCCCCCCCCCCCCCTATTATTATGAGACACTCCGTGGTAGTGGTCTCTAGAAATTTCACTATCTGCCATTTATATAGATCATGAAGAAAAATATGAAATATTCAAGAAAACACCAAAATTCTAATAATCACGCGCGAAAGTTCCGATAAACACAGTTCACATATTTTTAAGTAATTTGGTTGTATTTTTGTTAGATTGTGAGATGCGGCGGCAGCAGGCCAGCCTTGCTGGTACATTCTCTGAGGCGCACGCAAGGTGCAAGTGTTCAAACCCTTCTCTTCCATTTTATTGCAAAAGCATTTATATTTACAGTATCGGCTGGTTTTCACCGTTGCCGCCACTGACGTTGCACCGTATATGTACAGGTATCTATATATAGGAAAATTCAAGAAAGAAAAAAGCCGCCCCTGCATCCAGCTGGTCACGATGCGCCAACGCGCGCTTATCTCGCACGCAAACTTGTCCCCAAGTAGGAAGGGGTGAGGGTTGGGGTTGTTTGTGTGCACTCGCGCTTATCCTTCGGTGAAGAGAATTGCGTACCGTGGCCTTTCACCCGAATGATTGCGTTAGTTTCCTGAGCCACAAAGGTCAACTTCACTCGCTGGGCTGGCTCCGTTTGCGAAAAGAGCGCGCTTTTCAAACACAGCAAAGTACCAACTAGGACACTCGTTAGCTCGCACGGAAATCTGTACCTGAGATAATGTTTCGTCTTTCTGAGTTTAGACAGTGCGTTAAGCGTCAAATTTAAGTGTTGTTAGTCAGCTGTCGTCTCGTGAGTGTTGTTTTCGTGCGTCATATCTGCGTGAGTAGCGCGCTGCACGTTTAGTTCTCCTAGCCTTTCACAGCATTACATTCCAAGTTATTGCTATCGCGTTCATTGCTTCGCCCTTGCGGCGAAACTGTAACTTCTTTTTTCCACCTCTCTTTTCATCCTAGTCTTTTCTTACACATAAGCACTGGTTTTTTAACTCCCAGCCGGGAGCATTGATCGCTGCCAATGCCGTTCTTTGGGAGTCATTTCACACAAAACATACCAGCCATTTTGAAAACCATCTCAAATCTATACGAAGAAAAATCGCGCCGCTTTTAAAGAAGTGGATTCCTAGAACGTTTCGGGAATAAAAAAATTGTGGTCACGTGAGTGCTTCCCGAATTTCTCAAAATGCCCTATGACTCTTGTTCGTGAAAAAAGTATTTTTTTTGAAGAACAGCTCCTTCTTTCAATACCAAATTTAGGCAATATACTACGTAGGATGACTATGCAAGATATTTTAAGCTGATCATTATTGGCGCAATTTTCCGGCCATGTACGCCTCGAAACCTTTATCCGAAAGAGGTTATGTTCGCAGTTTTTCTGCTGCAATACTGGTCTATTTATGAATATCTAAGCAATAAATTGTTACACCATAGAAGGTATACTTTGCAAAAAAATTGCCTTTGGACCCCTCAAGTTGCTAAACTTTACCAGAAAAAAAATCACAAATTTCCCGAAGTCGTCATTTTTGTCAACATTGAGGCCGATTTGCACCACCTGGTGGCCCATATAAAGATAACATTGACATTCAAATGGAAGAGAAATAAGCAGTTTTTTTTTATTGGCCAAGTTTGATTATTACAATTTTTAAGGAAGAAAATGAATTTTAAAGTTTCCGATTTCGCGCCGCGGTGGTCTAGTGGCTAAGGTATTCGGCTGCTGACCCGCAGGTCGTGGGATCGAATCCCGGCTGTGGCGGCTACGTTTCCGATGGAGGTGGAAATGTCATAGGCCTGTGTACTCAGATTTGGGTGCACGTTAAATAACCCCAGGTGGTCAAAATTTTCGGAGCCCTCCACTACGGCGTCTCTCTTAATCATATAGTGGTTTTGGGATGTTAAACACCACATATAAATCAAAGTCTCCGATTGGCGGCTAGATTGCCATTCGGTCATATGGCAGCTTTTGCCTAGTTCTCCATGGCCCTGGTGTCCTTGAAGATGGGCAGGGCGTTTCCTCTCTGCATGAGTATAAATTGACGACATGCGTCACGCACTGTTGATGTTATCGCATGCGCTCTTCGTGCGACTGAGATAGGTCGGCTTGCTGCCCCTTTGCTTCAGCCGCGTTCGTAGTTCCTGCTTGCGTATGTTTACCCGTGGCTACAACATACAATTTGTGAGGGTCTGTTGTCAATTTGGAAATTAAACGGTATGGGACAGCAATGCCGATATCAAAAACCCTTCAAGAGTATTCAACTTCTAGACTTCATATCTCAGTAAAAAGATTAAAGCGGAACTATGAATATACTAATGTTAGTTACACGCACCCAGTCTGTCTATCAATACATACTGTCCAAAGAAAGAAGTAGTGGCTGAAAAGTAGATAGATAGTAGTACATAGATAGTAGTGGCTGAAAAAAACTCAACAAAGCAGTCAACTTCTCGACTTTTCCATATATGGTCCACTGGAGAAAGATTTTGTCTCCGTGCCTACAATAGCAGCACTATGTTCTTTGATATCACGAACAATTTCTCCTTCTTTCCGCAAGCTTAGAGGAGTCCGTCAGCTTTACGTAGATCGTGGGCGTGCCTCTGAGGGGCAGTTTTTTTAGTGTACTTCTTCAAATGCATACACTGTAGGAAACGTACAGCTCTATCAGCAGTAGAATGATATTAAAATTTATTCATACCCGATAATCCTGGATATATGGGCTATAACATTGTGTCATCGTTATTAGCTGCTTTTGAGAGCATGGTACACTTATAGTTTGGGATTTTAACACATGGGACATCGTACAGTACTGCACATGGCCGAGGGGACCCATGCAGTTTACATCGCACAAAACACTCCCTGGAATATAATTTCTTATTCTTCCCACTCTGCGATTTTGGCGTTTCTGAAGAGTGTTAGTGGGGCGAGAGACGAACATCACGATACTAGGGTTGCTTACAGGGGGCGCCAGTGGGAGCATATTTGGCTATGGGTCACTTCATGTCATCGAAGTTCAAGCAAACTGCTGAACTGTTGCGAAGATTTTTTTAATGCTTTTTACAAATAATGTTTCCAATATTTTGGATCATCTGGGGTAGTGCGGCTTTTCTGGAAACGATCGATTTCACCTTCTTCCGCTTTCTGTATTTAAAACACGGAAGTTATTTAGGCCAGGAAGCGTAAAGAATTTACTAATGTCGTTTACACTGCGGATATAGATAAGAAAAAAAACGAGAGTGAAAAATTGGCCGATCTTTTGTAAAGTGGGAATCGATGATATGTGAAGCACGAATGAGAAAAGTTGATATGTCACATTAAAATCAGCACAACGTTATGAGAAGACGTAAATTATGCGGGCCTCACCACAGTGGTGTAGTGGCTAAGGTACTCGGCTGCTGACCCGCAGGTCGCGGGATCGAATCCCGGCTGTGGCGGCTCCAGTTTTGATGAAGGCAGAAATGCTGTAGACTTGTGTGCTCAGATTTGGGTGAACTTTAAAGAACCCCAGGTGGTAAAAAAGCTAAGGTGTTCGGCTGCTGACCCGCAGGTCACGGGTTCATATACTGGCTGCGGCGGCTGCATTTCCGATGGAGGTGGACATGTTGTAGGCCCATGTGCTCAGATTTGAATGCACGTTATAGAACACCAGGTGGTCGAAATTTCCGGAGCCCTCCACTACGGCGTCTCTCATAATCATATAATGATTTTGGGACGTTAAACCCTACATATTAATCAATCAAATCAATCCCTCTAATACGGTATCTTTCATATTCATGTTGTGGTTTTGGGACGTCAAATCAAAACCGATAGATAGATAGATAGATAGATAGATAGATAGATAGATAGATAGATAGATAGATAGATAGATAGATAGATAGATAGATAGATAGATAGATAGATAGATATGGTCAATATCACCGAAGTTCGCTAAGAGATCTTTTGCAATTAAAAACTGACTTAGGCATCTGATTGGATAATCAAACCTCTGACTTTTCTCTCCTTGAAAATAGTAGCCCACTTTACAAGGTAGCTGCTAGGGCAATGTGTGGCTTTGGTCATTTCGGTGCCAGATAAGCTCGCCTTGTTGTGTTCGCACATTTGTAATGGCAAGAGA